GTGACTTATATACACATAGGTTTTCATCTATATATGTAAAACTGAAACAAAGCTTAATGATTTTATGACCTATCCCAAAGTCACTCATGATTTACACAATTCAGTGTAACTGAAATATTAATATCTATAACCAATGATTTTCTTTTCACAGCCATTTTTAAAGTGCCATCCTCAATACTACTGCAAACCATCTGGAACTACTTAACTTTGCCAGCCTGCTGGGATATCTGTCTCCCCTTGGGAAGCCCATCCCACACTAAATGAATAACTGAGGAAACAACTGCTCTGAAAAATATGACGACATACAGCTCTAAAAAAGACTTCAGAGTATCTGTTTCTTCTAGATTAAAACAGATTTAGCCCCAGTATTGTACAAAAAAAAAAAACCACAGTATTGATCTGTAAACCTTCACAAATACCTTCATATTCACAATTGCTGTAAAATCAACTACATATTTTTGAAATAATTTGAAAATTATTTCTAAGCTATAAAATATCTCACCACTTCTTTTTTTTTTCTTTCTTTTTTGTGATCTCACTGTCATCCAGGCTATCCTTGAACTCACTATGTATGTCACCGATGCTGGCCTCAAATTCACAGCAATCCTTCTGTTTCAGCCCCCAGAGTGTAGAGATATAGTCATGAGCCACCATCCCCAGCTCCACTTCCACCTTTTCAAAGAATCTCTCATCAACCTCAGAAATCCTATTATGTCATCAGAAGATATTTTAATCTCTTGAAGGACAATTAAATTTAGAAAAAAAAAGAGTAAAACATAGGTCATTTTTCTATTACCAACTGAAAGTTCCAAATCACTTAATTTTTGTTAACAAGTAATAAATTCAAAATAGTTCTAAACTACTGCATAAATTTATTATTGATTCTTGAGGTTTAATAGATTAAAATGAAATTGTGTAAATGGTCCCATAAAAAGTATTTATAGGGCTGAGATTGTACCTCAGTGCTACAGTGCTCTTCTAGCATGAGGAGGATTCTGGGTTCAATCCCCAACACTGGAGGAAAAAAAAATTCTAGTTTATAACAGAGATCTTTTTCATTCAAAGGATTTTTGACATTTTATTATTTCAAAATGTTACATGTTGTTTTATGTAGCAGAGGAATATCTAAGTATAAGTGTCCCATTTTAAACTTGAAAAGCAAAAAATTTTTACCCTAAATATTGAACTTTTGTGTATGTGTGTGCACACTAGGGATTGAATCTGGGAACTTCACACTGAGCTACATCCCTGGCCCTTTTTATTTTTTGAGATAAGGTCTCACTAAGTTGCTTGAAAAAGTTCTAAATTGCCATTATAACTATATTTGTTCATTTAAGCTGTGATTCTTAGGGTAGGGAGGTAGCTCAGCGGTAGAACATTTGCACACATGGTCTAGCTCCGAGGCTTAATCCCCAGTACCACAAAAAGAAAATGAAAACAATCCTGCCGAGGCATGGTTGAACAGGTCTGCAATCCCAGCTACTCAGGATACTAAGGGAGGAATCTGAGGCCAGCCTAGACTATATAGCAAGACCCTGACTCAAAAACCAAAACAAAACAAAATCCCAAAGAAACAGCTGGTAACTGCTTATTTTAAATCTGCTGTTCCAGGCTGGGCGTGGTAGTGCACGCCTGTAATCCCAGCACTCGAGTGGCTGAGGCAGGAGGATCACTGTGAGTTTGAGACCAACCTGGGCTACAAAGTGAACTCAAGGCCAGCCTGAACTACATAGTGAGACACTGTCTCAAAATAAATGAATGAATGAATGAATGAATGAATAAATAAATAAATAAATCTGCTCTTCCTGACTAGGCGTGGTGGCATATGCCTGTAATCCCAGCACTCAGGAGAAGCAGGAGGACTTCCTTGAGTTTGAGACCAACCTGGGCTACAAAGTGAGTTCAACATTAGCCTGGTATGTAGCGAGACCCTGTCTCAAAAAACAAACAAACAAAAAACCCATCTGTTCCTATTCTGAAACATTTGAGGAAATGTCACTACAATACTTTTTTTTTGTACTGGGAATCGAACTCAGGACCTTGCAGTTGCCAGGTAGGCACTGTGCTGCTGAGCTATATCCCCAGCCCACTACAATACTTTTTTTAAGCAAAAAAAAAAACAAAAAAAACAAAAAAAACAAAAAACTTTAGGCAGTATTGTACCACTGAATTACCCCTCCAGCAAACAAAGTAAAATTTTAATCAATATATCATTGAACAGCCACATATATTTCTAAAACACTGACAGAAAAATACATTAGAGAATTTATATAAAACTATTATTAAATACAGTGTTATTTTCTTGCTTAGTTTCAACTGTTAGCCTGGTGACCATACAGTATACTTCAGGTAACTTCACTTAGGAATTTTAGTACCCTTTGACAGTCATAACAATGTGTGTGTATGTGTGTGTGTGTGTGTGTGTGTGTGTGTGTGTGTATGGTGCTCAGGGTCTTGCATTGCTCTTTCCCAACCCAAGCACGACACTAGTTTTGAGACAGGGTCTCACTCTGTAGTGCAGGCTGGCCTTGAACTTACTTATGTACCATAGGCTGGCCTCAAACTCACAGTGATCCTCCTGCCTCAGCCTTCCAAGTGCTGGGAGTATAGGCATGCACCACCATGCCCAGCAACAACTTTTAAAGGACTATTAATAATTCCCAAAATAAACAGACTGGTGTGTATTTGCAAAAATATTTAGGGGGAAATAAAATCTTCATTTTCACCATACAAGCAATATTTGTAATCAGAATTATTTCTGAGTATTTCCCAGGAAATTTGAGAAACCAGTATTACAACTATGTCAGTACTGAGGTTCAGAGATTATTCTGAAAAATGTTGGAATCGTTTGTACATAATGTCTTTTCTGAATCTGTAAAATGAAATGTTTGGACAAATGATCCATCCCTACATTCTTCCAATATTAACTCTTCCAAACTAAGCCAGATGTTTTTCTCTTATAAATAAAATAAAATTTAAAGAGGTCAAAGTATATCTTTAAAAACTTTTTTAACCTGCTAAGGATCTTAAAGATACTTTACATAAACAAGCCAGCCATTTTATGGCTGAGTAAAAATACATTAATGGCATCTATATAAAACACAATATGAAATCTCTAATTTTATTTGAAATCAGCACATGAAACCTCTGACTTCAGATGAAATTATATATTTCAACTTTAATTTTGCCAGTTTTATTTCAAACCCAAACTTTTGAATTTCATGGCCACTTTGTTATTTGAATGATTTTTCTAGTTTATATGTGCATCAAAATTAATCTTGTTTCTCTTCCACATGAAAAAAATATACATCTTTTTACCATCATCTTTATGTAGGTTTTATTTTTTAAAAAAAAACTTATTTAACGGCAAATGTAAAGGGTTGTACCAAACTAATGACTTTCTTCCCTCCTTTGAACATTCTCCAATGTTTAAATTGTGTCCCTTCAATTCTCTAACTGCATTGTTAAGATTTTAAAAAAAGTGTCAAAATAGTACAGTATTCATCTGATGCTGAGATAAATTCCTTCATCTTGGTAAATATTTCCATTTTATTTTAAGGAGGAAGCTTTAATGTCTTTAAATAGTGTAAAAAAAAGTGGCATTTCATAAGCCCTTTTCTATGATACTTTGCAAAGACTAGGGAGAAACATTCTAAAACGTTAAGGCTGTTTATCCCTGGTGGTGTTATTACACGCCATTTTATTTTTTACATTTTCCAAAAAGCATTATTCTCATGATAATTGAACAATATTTTGAAATTAAATTTTAGATAGTTGATAAAGTGTGAGACACCAAAGCAGTGCACTAGATAGTTTAAATGCTTTTTCATTTCGATAAGCTGCTGCTTTAAGAAGGGAATCATTTGATCAGATGTCTATTAGGGTGGATGAAGACAGAACAGCTTTATTTTCCAGGCCTTTCATTTATTTAGGCTTTTGAGAAAATCCACGAAGTGATTTTCAACTTAATTGCAGTGAATCTTGCAGTAGTAAACTTTCCGAGGGGTCAGAGTAACACCTTTCATTACAACTACTGTATTAGCTAAATAGCAAAAGATTTTCAGGTTGATCAATATTTTCTGAGATTTCTTAGTATTCTCCTGTGATTATTTCCCCACAGTTCCATTTAGAAAGAAACGCAATTGTAAACCGTTTCTATTTCAAGGCCATAAAAACCAGAACTGAGATGAAAGGCAAAGTCTTGACCTTTCTATTTTAGACTTTCATCTGTGTAGCGAAGCCATCTGCTCTCCCCCCCACCTCCCACCCCATCTACTTAATGGACTGAAAATACTGCACCTAATTGCAATTTTATCAAAGCAGCCTGACTTTCCACTTTCACGAATTACCGACTCCGGCTTTTCACCTGAAGGCTCGCCTGGTAAAAATTTTACTTACCCTTCCCTCCCAGTTCCTTCTCACCTCCCTCAGTTACGAGCTGTCAACGTCTCTGAACTAAAACACTAGTCTCCCGTGCATTAAGCCGTCTAAAGAGATCTTCACTTTCCACACTGAGCGCCTGGCGGAAAACCCAGTCGGGTCTCCGCTCCTCAGGATATGGGGCCGGTATTACCACCACGGCTGCGATTACGCAGGATGCATCTCTGCTCAGACTAGAAAGGAGTCGCGTCCCTGCCGCCAAAAGAGGGACCCAGTCCGGGAAAAGACCCAACTGGGTTGGGAGGAAACCTCCAGGACAGAAGGGAGCTGGGGAGAAGAGGGATCTCAAGACTAGCAGGAAAGAGCTTCCGAGGCAGGAATGGGAAAGGGTGTGGGAAGTGGCGGGCGGCCAGCGCGAAGGGGGAAGAAAGGGCCGAGGCCCGCGGGAGGGCCGGGCAGGAGGCGAGTGACCGAGGCGGGCGTGGGCGCCCTCCGGAGCGGTAGGTACGGGGGTGAGGAGCAGAGAAGCCGGCAGCAGTGGAGGGACCGAGGCAGCGTCGTCCGAGGCCGGCGCGACGGGGACAGCGCCCCCCGCCCCCCGCCAAGCCCCGCTACTTAACTATTTGTAGAGCTGCTGCAGGCACAGGTCCAGGCTCTCGCCCTCCACCTCCTCACGGGTGATGCGCTCCGACAGCGGCCGCGGGAGCGGGGGCAGCGGCGGCAGCTGGGGCTGCGGCGGTGGCGGCACGGCCGAGTGCCCCGGGGCCGCCGCCGCCTCCTCCTCCCCCTCGCCTTCGGCCGCCGCCACCGCCTCCACCTCCACCGCCTCCTCTTCGGGCTCCGGGTCTCGCCCGTGCTCTCCCTCCTCCGTCGCGGCTAGCGTGGCCGCCTCCTCCCCGGGTTCCTCGACCGAAGCCTCGGCCGTCTCGGCTGCTACCAGTTCAGGCTCGGGCTCGGGCTCGGGCTCGGGCTCGGACTCCGGTTCGGGTTCCGGCTCTGGCTCGCCGCCACCGCACGGTCCGCGAAACTCGCCAAGGAACAGCTCCAGGAAGCGCCGGTAAGTTTTCTCCTCAGGGCTGCAGCCGGCCATCGCTGCTCATGCCCCGAGGCCGACCGGGAAAGGGGTGGGGGAAGCCCGCGAAGGGGAGGGGGCTGCTTCTGAGCCTCGGGCTCCCGCTACGGCAGTTAACTGCCGCACCAGCAAGAGCGATCAGCACTAGGTTGCTTGGAGAGGGCTCCCGCAGGCGTGCGCGCCACCGAGGACTGACGTGCGCGGCCCCGGGGCAGAGCGCGCTGCCCCCTCGGGTCTGGAGGGAAAGTTGGTGGCGAGCGCGCGCGCAGGGTCCAGCGGCGGCCCACCCTCTATCCCTACGGAGAGCTCAGCCTACGCTGCCTGGAGACCGTCGCTATGGCAACCAGTTCTAATTAAGAATTTCAGGGTCCCTCTCAACGAGTCCGCGGAGTCGTAGGGACACAGGTCGTCCTGCACCTGCTCTCCAACTCTGAATGTCTATTGGATGAACCCTAGTCTCAAAGTGAAGAATGAAGACATCTCCCAGTCAAACTGGTGGTTTCCACTTGGACTGCATTTACTTAAGTTTATTTGTTCATAAACTTGCCTTAACGTATAGGATGGGAGATACCAACCTTTTGTTGATAGCACTCAATGAACAAGTAGTTGAGACGTGAGGAACCCCCCAAACACATACCTAATGGGAGGTTCCTTTACATAGGTTCTCTTACTTGATTGTATTAGCTTCATTTCTCGAAGAAATGAAGTAAAGAAAATTAAGACTAAACTACTTGCTTCAAGTTTTCAAAACTTTCAACCATGAATTAAATTCATGGTTAGAATTAAAATCCAGGTTAAGTCTCCGACACCTTCTAGACATTTTTCCCTTAACTGTCCCCTGCCTCTGAAAATTCAGCAGTGTCTTGTGTCCATATAGTGCCTCATTTGTATAGGGCTTTGTAGTTTGTAAGTTGTTCTCACTCCTTTCAACTTTACTACTGCCCTTCAGATAGATATTACCATTGTGATTCTGTTTTATAAATGAGGGGATGAAGCTTTAAAGATACTGTGACTTTGCTCAAGGTCACAAGCAAGTGATGCAACGTGGACTTGGACCCATGACTGAGATTCAGTAAATTTCACCCGTTGGTTTTCCATCACACCAACACTCCCCTTTTGAGTTTCTCCATAAAGTATATAATATTGTATTGCATGTAGGTTTTTTTTTTTATAGTATTTTGTTTGCTTTTCTTTCCATCCTCTCCCATGTCTTTTTTCTTACCTAGGTTGAAACTGAAATAACTTAAAATGATTCTAATTTCTTACCAAAATACACACAAACCTATTATTTTCAAGCCTCACTGAGGGGTGGAAGAGGGAGAAGCTGTGTTGTTATACAGCTGTTTAGATGATAGTATCATTACTGCATCCTGCCATGCCCATGGCAACATATAATTCAGCAAAAACATAGTGATTCTCTACTCTGAAAAGCATGTTCTTGCAAATTATCTACCCCATCCTCTCCAGTCAGTTTCTGGGTTTCAGTTGGATTTAGTTCTCAAATACCATTTCCAGTCAGTTATTAATGGCAGAAGAGGGAGACTCCTCACCAACTGTTTTCATATAATACTGTATTCTAAATCCCTGACCTGATACTGTTATTTTAAGATTAAGTGGGTTGGACTCACTAATGTACATTATGGCATCATGTAAAATAGAGTCCATGCTCTTTCCTTGCTTGAGATTAAATAATACATGATAGAAAGTATATAGTGAGTAATGCACTTGAGTTCCCTGTAACTGTTTTTTCTTAAAGGTAAATGGAAAATCCCAGTAAGTCTGCTTCCAGACATGCTAAATGTGTTTTGTTTAAAACATCAGTGTAAAGCAACTTCTCCATGAGATGCCAAGAAAGCCTTTAAATTCATTTGTCTTTGTTTTCAATATACCTGCTCATTTCCATTTCATAATGTCTAGAAAGATTGACAAAACTTTTTAGGCTGCAAACCTAAATGTCCAGTTTTACATTCCAACAACTGTTATTATCCCAGAACTTGACATGCTGACATTTTGTTCAAGAGTACACAGCTGTCAACTGCAACAATTCATATCAAGCTACACCTTCCTACTTCATAATGTAGTTGCCTCCCTCATCTAGATGACATTTATTTGTGACATTAATTTCTGACTCAACCCACATATCAAAGGGAAGTGATCTATGTTGGTAAAACATTACTTCTAAGAATAAAAGAAAAAACCCACATCTCTATATTACTATGAGAGGCATGTTTGCTGATATTAATAAAGATATTCTTTCACAAAGATCAATATAGATTCTAATGCATCCATCTGACAAAGTAGCTTTGCCAGAAGGCTGCTGACAGACACTCAGAGCAGGTGTGTAGGATGATTTTGCCATTATCAAGTCTTTTTATGTGAGCCAAATTAAACCTCTCCTTCTTTAAAAAAAAAGTCTTTTTAGTCATTATTTTTCATCACTTTGTTTTCCTTTTCAGTTCCTCTCCTCTTACACTTTAGTCCCCTAACTTACTACTTTAAAAGAATCAAGTTATGAAAAACGTAGTGTATAGGAGTGATATTTATCATTATTGAGATTTTTTTAAGATCATTTTCTTATAAAAGTTACTGTCCTTCTAATCCATACCTCCTTGAAGAAAACGCACCATGTCTTTTCACAGACATTCCCGATATTTCAATGTTAAAAAGGATCGTTGCGTTTGGCAGTTTCTTCGATGACCTAGCAATTCCTCTCAGATACTTACCAATGAGAAGAAAAAACATGTCCAGTGTGTACACCTAAGCACACACAAAAAATCGTACACAACATTCACAGTTTTCTTTTGTTGTTGTTTTTGCAGGACTGTGGATTGAACCTGGAGCCTTTCCACTGAGCTACACCCCCAGTCCTTTTTATTTTTTATTTTCCAACAGGGTCTGGCTGAGTCGCTGTTCTCTATCACAGCCCAAGGCCTACTGCGTCTCGTTTGTAACTTTGCTCCCACTGAATATATCCATTGTGATTCCACCTTTGGCCAGTAGCCTCAGAACAAGCTCTAGACATATCAGCTAGAAAGCATAATAATAATAAATTTTAT